TAAATGTGGAAATCAAGATGTCCTGCCAGTTCTAAGCTCCAAGCCACATCATTTGTAGAGCAAATGGAAACTTTATAGCAGAGCTTTGAAGGAGAAAAAAGATTAAAAATTTTTCATTATTAAAATGACATTCTTGATGATGGGATGGAAGGGATGGTTATAAGGCATGTCTACAGAGTGCCAGGAACAAAATCTACTTAATGACTTTATGTGGTTCCTTTTAATCTTCAAGACAACCTTATGAGATAGATAAAATTCCTGTTTTGCAGACGAGGAAACCATGGGTCACAAGAAGTTAAGTAACTACCCCAAGGTCACAGGTAGTAAATCTAATTCTTTGCCACACTGCTGCTAACTAGTACGAATAGCTGCATTTCTTAACATGTGTGCCAGGTGCTCTGGTAAGAACTTCACATATATCCTCATAGTAGCCACTTCTTAGGAATGATAAAATCAAGGATTCCAGTGGCTGAGTAACTTGCCCAAGATCACCAACAAATAAGTGACAAGCGGAGCCTTTAAATACTGGCTCACTTCTGTCTGACCACTATGCTGTATTGCTTTCAGTGAGTACCCAGAGAATGTGCTAGATTAGACCTCATAAAACCAAACCTTGCATAAGCCTCATTCAATGTCCCTCTTTGTTTCTTTGGTGCTTCTGTTCATATAAAACCACTTTCTTTCTCTTCCATTCTATCTCCTATTTCTATAAATACAGCAATAACTCACGTCCTAACTTACTTATAGCCAGCCATTTTCATATTAAAGACATTTAGTGCAGCCCCAAATTTGATTTTATAAAAGTATTTCTAGAAAAAAATATTATTTGAAAATTACTCTTTGCTGGGTGCAGTGGCTCACGCCTATAATGCCAGCACTCTGGGAGGTCGAGGTGGAAGGATTGCTTGAGGCCAGGAGTTTGAGACCAGCCTGGGCAACATAGCAAGATCCCATCTCTACAAAAAATTAAAAATTAGCCAGGCATGGTGGCTGAGGCCTCAGTCTCCCTACTCAGGAGGCTGAGGCAAGAGTAGCACTTGAGCCCAGGAGTTTGAGGTTACAGTAAACTATAATCATGCCACAGCACTCCAGCCTGGGCAGTAGCCTTCTCAATAACCTAAGATACCACCAATACTTTGTAACATTTCACTACTGCTGCTTTTCTTCCATATCTCATAGTAATTTTTCCTATTATTTATTAAATAACTTAAATGATGAAAACAATTCTGTGACTCCAGGATGTAAAATAACAGAGTTGTTTACTTAGAGCATCTCTGTGCAACTTGTGAGCTACTGTTTTTCTTCTGTTCTGCCAAATTATATCGGATCAATTGGCCAATCTTTCCACTTAGCTTTACAAATAACATTGACGATTTTACTATGGTAATAGAGGCATTTGTGAAGGACAAAGTTTATTTTCACTTTTAAACTAAAGTAAATGATTGGCATGAGGTGAAGATTATAATTCTGAAAATGCTCACTAAAATATTAAAACTAGAGCAAATTCATTCTGAAATGCCCTGTGTCTATAGATATTATTCACCAAATCATAATTTTACAACAGAAGCGCTGAGTTGGTTACTGAAACCAACTCTCTAACATTTTCGCTACATAAACACATTTTTGTTTTAAGACAATGTGATAAGTTTCCACTTTGCCATTGCATTAATGTGCATACGGCCATTTAATTTTAGCTGGCAGCAAAGCGCAAGTGTGCAAATTAGGGATTGGGTCTACTCCAACCTGAGCAGACTTCTTTGGCTCATGACTAAAGACAATTCTTGGAGCCTTCTTAGCTCTAAAGGAGGCTATTTTGTCCAAAAAAAAAGGCTGTATTACATCATTTAAGGTTAACTTTTTAAAGAATGCTCTTTTATTTTCTCAGTTTGGTATTAGTGGGACCACTAATGTAAGAAAACTTGATGACTGGTAGATCCTCCCTTCTTAACATCTCTTTTCCCCATTCCCCACCTCCAACCTATCCTTTATCGAATGTTCTAGAAGAAGTTCCCAAAATTTAAAGTTCAGCCTGTCCATTCACTTAAATTCCTTCAGTGACACTCTCCCCTCTTGCATGTGTGCACACGGCTTTGGGAATAACATTTGAACTCCTTAGCCTGGTATTCCAGACCCTTCAGGAACTAGCCCTTGCCTAAGTAGCTTCCTAGCACCTACCCGTACCTCACACTTCATGCCAATACAACTGCCTCCTGGTGGAAGGAACTGTCTCCAGGATCTTTTTTTTTTTCTTTAAAGAGACAAGATCTAGTTCTGTTGCCCAGGCTGGGGTGCAATGGCACAATCATAGCTCACTGTAACCTCAAATGCTGGCTCAAGCATCCTCCTGCCTCACCCTCCTGAGTAACTGGGACTACAGACGTGTGCCACCATGCCCAGCTAAATTTTGTAGAGACAGGTTCGTGCTATATTGCCCAGCTGGTTGTAAACTCCTGGCTTCAAGCATCCTCCCCCGCCTCAGCCTCCCAAAGTGCTGGTATTACAGTGTGAGTCATTGCACCTGGCCTGTCTCCAAGATCTTAGCCTTAGAAAGTATGACAGAATCAAGTGTCCCTCCACTTCAACACACCAGCCTGCTAGCTTAAGGATTCCTTCTAACCCTTTTCTCCTCCCAAAGCTAATGTCTACACCAGTGGAGGTGGACTTCTTTTAGCACTAGAGAAGTATAGATGGGCAGAGCCCACCAACTTTTGTACAATGTCAGGAAGGTCACAGACCCTGAGCCAGTTCAGTGACCCCAGGTTAAGATCTTCGGCTTGAGGTCCTCTCCAGGATGTGCCCCTCAATCACTCCTGTTGTCCCCAAAATGTGCAATCCCCCTTCTTCCAACCTCCTGGAATATATAATTCAACCATGCCCTTTAGTCTTCCTTCCTATTACCTTTTTCAATCCTACCTAACCAGGACTGCCACACAATATACACTAATCAGTGTTAATACATTAAAGAGTCCTCTGCAAGCTCGAAATTCTAGAGAAACTGCCCTTCTGGAGGAAATCCATGGTCTTCCCCAAGTCAGATGCAGTGAGAGGGCTGAACTCTGCCTTATCTAACAAAGTGATTTCATGGGATTGTCTCCAAAGCTTTGGAATTCTCCATCCTCTTGATTCCCACAGCATTCCACTGTCAGGCCTATCTCTATTCTGAGGCCCCTTCTCAGAGCTCTTTGCTGCCATCTCATTTTTTCCACTTTCTCTTACCTCTTGCTCTGATCCCTAAAAACCTGGTCTTGGGAATTTTTCAAACCAATCCCAAGTCTGTATTCTCCAGCCCTAAACTACAAAACTTCCATTTCATTATGTGCTGAGATAATTTCTGGATAGCTCATCTGTATGTTAAAAACAAAACTCATTTTTCCACCAAACCAGCTCCTCCTCCATATTTTCCTATTCGGGTTTGCATCCGTTGTTTGGGTTTCGCCCAGGGTTATTTCCACCCAGTGTTGTCAGTGCCTCACTTAAAATCTTCGCTGGATTTCCCACTTCTATTTCCATTGCCCACGTCCCATGCCCAGCTTACTACACCAGCCTCTTCAAACAAACAAAACACTTTTTTTTTTTTTGAGACAGAGTCTCACTTTGTTGCCCAGGCTAGAGTGAGTGCGGTGGCGTCAGCCTAGCTCACAGCAACCTCAAACTCCTGGGCTCAAGCGATCCTCCTGCCTCAGCCTCCCGAGTAGCTGGGAAGTACAGGCATGCGCCACCATGCCCAGCTCATTTTTTGTATATATATTTTTAGTTGGACAATTAATTTCTTTCTATTTTTGGTAGAAACGAGGTCTCGCTCAGGCTGGTTTTGAACTCCTGAACTTGAGCAATCCGCCCGCCTCGGCCTCCCAGAGTGCTAGGATTACAGGCGTGAGCCACCTCACCCAGCCCAAACAAAACACTTTAATAATTACTATAAACCAGGCACTCTCCTAAATCCTTTATATACGTTGTCTACTTTAATCTTTATATTAATACTTGTGAGTTTGTATCATTCTGATGTCTGCTTTACAACACGAGAAAACTGAGGTTTAATCCCACCAAGGATTATGTAATTTACTCAGACTGTACTGTAAGAGGTGATGTCATGATTCGATTCTAGAACAGGAGTTCTCAAACTTTGTAAACAGGGGACCAGGTCACTGTCCCCCAGACTGTTGGAGGGCCGTTGGAGAGTGCGGTGCACATTCCACACATGCGCACTGTGGGCCCGGGACCAGTCGGCTGCTAAGCAGGACAGGCAGCGGCGGCAAAAACACCCGGTGGGTGGGATAAATGTCCTCAGTTGTGGCCTGAGAGCCAGGCCTTAGTTTGAGGACCCCTGTTCTAGAACGTCCAATGCTGGAACCCACTGAGCTGCCTTTTCCAGAGCACCCCAGTGCCTCTTTCGTGTCTTCTTCAATGTGTCCTGTCCATCACTGTTGCCCCCCAAAATACTCCTTTCACAGGGCACCATTTTATTAGTCTCCTGTTCAAGGAGGAAAGAGACTTAATACGTAAGTCAGAACTGTTTACCTTCCTCATCTTACTTTCTTCTATTGTCATAAATTAAAATTGCAACTTGTTCTGATAAACACTTGGCACTGACTGTATGCTAACACTAAGCCTCTTATTTCCTGCCCTAAGTTGAACCTCATTCTCCACCACAAAACTCAAAGCACATAGCTCAATATTCTATGTGACAGACATTACCGTGGCAGTATGTAACCACAATTGTAGCAAAAATAAAGTTGACATTCTGAGCAGATTTGGAGGCATACTCATGAAGATTCAGATACATCAGGGTTTAAAACTGGGGTGCATGTATAATGTGGGTTCAAGGTCATTATATAAAAAGGCCACACATAAAAAATATTGAAAAGTGTGACTTGAATAAATTATCTTTTAAAAAATCTATTATGTTTACATAATAGATTATGTTTAACTATGTATACGTATAAATTTATGTAATACATAAAGTTTATTATGTATTAATAAACTACTTTTCTATTCTGCAGTGACCAAGAATGAAGAAGTAAAAATAATTATGGTGAAACACTACAGAATTGGGCTAGATGAAAAATATGAAGTAACAAAAAAGTGGTCTTTGAACGATCTGCGGATGATTGATGGAAAAGAAGCAGACACTGTAAGTGTTACATTTTATAAGGTGATACAGAATCAATACACTGGAGATCTTTTTTTTTTGAGACAGAGTCTCGCTTTGTTGCCCAGGCTAGAGTGAGTGCCGTGGCGTCAGCCTAGCTCACAGCAACCTCAAACTACTGGGCTCAAGGGATCCTCCTGCCTCAGCCTCCCAAGTAGCTGGGACTACAGGCATGTGCCACCATGCCCGGCTAATTTTTTGTATATATTAGTTGGCCAATTAATTTCTTTCTATTTATAGTAGAGACGGGGTCTCGCTCTTGCTCAGGCTGGTTTCGAACTCCTGACCTCGAGCAATCCGCCCGCCTCGGCCGTACCAGAGAGCTAGGATTACAGGCGTGAGCCACCGCGCCGGCCTACACTGGAGATCTTTATGTTCAATATCCTGCTTCATATATTCTTAGGCATGTACTCAGTGTGTAAGGCATGACACTTGTTCGCTTTAGTGGTGTGTTTAATACTACTGGGATGATCTTGCTGGGTTTTTTGTTCATGTTTTTAGTGGCTTGACAATTAGAGATGTTGTCTATTAAATTTATAAGCGATCTTTCCCATTAGGACGTCTATTGCTCAGTTTATATATCAATTTACTCATTTCTCATATTTGCTTATAAATTATAATGCCATTTTTCCAAATATATGCGCTTCCACAATCACCTTCTCCCCACCCTGATTTCCTCCATATGTTTTGGGAATTCCTTCCCTTGTCTTCAAATTTTACTGTCATCAAGCCCACTTCGTCCTCCAGAAGGATCATATAACTCCCAGAAATCCTATCATCTTAGGTTGAAAACGGAGAAAGTGTGGATACTGACACGCCTCCCACTTGACCACTTGACAAATGATTTCCCAGTCTGTCCGTTGAACTCTTCTGTTGATAGAGAACTCATTCCTCTCTTGAACTTTGGACATCCACAATGCTTAATTTCCCTTCTTTGGATTGGTTGCTTACCACCTCTACAAATTCATGTATTTATCCATTCCTCCATTCATTTATTTATTGAGGATTTATGCTATACCAGGCCCTACTAGTCTCTGAGGATACAGTGGAGAAATAGACAACCATAAGCACTTAATTCTGCCTCAATTAATTAATTAATCATCTAATCTCAATATCTAAATTTTGTTCTTTATTGAAATCAATATATACTATCTGCTATTACCTTGATTTATCACCTAGGAACCCTTTTTTAAAAAATTGGTGTGTTTGTCTTGACTTCTTGGTGAAGGAATGCTTGATTCTATTGCTTTGTTACCTAAGAATGCACATAACATTTTTCTAACCATATATTCTACCTAAATGTTTCACACTTAGGAAATGGTTAAATATATCATTGCATATTCATATGATGGAATATTATAAAGCCAGTATAAAACATGTTTCCAAAAGAATACCTCAGTATACAATTCAGCCATTTAATAAGTCTCTTAAAAATCAACTAAATATAAAACTCTTCTAAAATATTATGTTAATTTTGCATATTTAGTCTATCATATTACTAAAATCTGAATCTTAAATCTTAACACAAATACACATAACTATACATTTGTGTATATATGTATATATATATAAAACAATCGGTACTTCAATAGTTATCTCTGTGTGATGAGATTATAAATTTTTCAATTATCATTTTCTTTCTTTGTTCTTTTCTGTATTTCCCAAATTTCTATACTGCATTAAATTTTATCAGAAATCCATGTCACGTTTACCAATCTGTAGTTTCAGGAATTAACTCTCTCCACCTAATTTTTGGCCCACTTTTCTTTTCTTTTTCCTCAAGGTCTCAAACATTATTGATGTCATAATTATTTTCTACAAGTTTGGTCAATGCCTGAGGATGCATTCCTCAGGCCTATCAACAATCCTGTTTCAAGCAGCTAGCTGTACTCTAATTTTTCCTTACATTTCTTGTCCTTTAATTCTATTCCAACATTGTTGATTCTTCCCTTTTCAATTTGAAGATTATTGTCTTCGATAGTAAACTAGATACAAAAGAGAAGTTTACTATTTCTGTTTTTCTCATCACCTTAGTACCTAAAATATTAAATTGCCAGAAGAAAAACTATAATATTCAACAAGCTCCTTTAAAGATTTCTTTCCTATGGATGAAGAAAAAATATCTTGGCTGTTCTGGGAATTCCACTTCTCTCTCTTGGAATTGAATCCTCAGAAGTCAGCATTTATTATATTTTTCTCAATAGCAACGATACAGTTTTCAATAGAGAAATTTCAAGCCAGAAAGCCATTGACTTTAAAATAGAATGAAATTGAAACTGAAGTCAATTTATAAAGCAGAAATCAAAATGACCTGGGATTTGGAGACTAACTGGTACAACAAGAGACAGGATAATGTAGCAAAAATTGGGGTTGGACGATTGAGATCTTGCTTTTATCCTGACTTTGCCAGTGACTAAATGTGCCAATGACCTGAATTTTGCCTCTCTGGAAACTACTGTATTATCCCAGCTAAAAACAAGAGATCACTAAATGATCTGTGAGATCTCTTTTAGCTCTAGGATTCTACCAAAAGAAAGAGAGACAGGGACAGACAGACTTGTATTCTATGTGCATGCATGCTCAGGCTTCAATTATTAGGCTAAAGGAAAAGATTAATCCTCTCCAAGCAGTTCAAAGACATAAGGAGTATTTTTTTCTACCTGATGAGGTACAAATATTTGGGAGCAAAAATACCATAAGGAGCATGATTAATATCTGGTGATGGGATGGGTGTGATTTCCTTTTATGGAGATTCTTGGCCAAATTGTCTTTGAAGCTGCAGTTATGACAGCTAGAAAATATTTCCAAGTGCGACTAGGGAAGTGCCGTGTTTAAAACCATATCACCCTGTACAGTCTTTTTTAAAAGCATTGTTACATTTTGTTTTCAAGTTTTTTTAATGATGTAGGACAAGGTGGTATTAATACCAATATTACAATCTTTAAAGGCAGATCTAAGAAAGGAAATTATTATTTATTAAGCTTCACACTAATTTATATGATTCTCATGTAAATTTCACAGCAACCCTATCTAAAATGAGAAGAAAAGTGAGAGTCAGATTAGATAAGTACTTTGCCTGTAGTTATATTACACAGTCAAAATGGTTATCTGACTTCAAAACCCATGCTTTTTTCCCGCCTCCTTCAAGAATTTTCCTATTTGAAAAAGAAGTTGCAAATATATAAGTTGCTTGTATATAATATTTACGTACTACATGCTACTGAATTATTAATACTTCTGTTAGGTTTGGTCCCTCTCTGCCTCTTTGTCATTTAGGCCAATGTTTATCTACACTTCTCCTTTCATAGGACTACTTCGGATCCGTTCAACACACATTTGTTGAGAACTTAATAGTTGCCATGGATAAGCACTAAGAACACGAAGATAAATAATGCAAAATCTCTTCCCTAAAGGAGAGTTAGAAGGTAGACACATAATGAATGTGAAAGCATTCTGTTTTATAAATGCAAGGCATTGTTGTTACTGCTATTAATAACAGTAGCAATTATTATTTTAACTTGTAGCACCTAGATTAGATTCGATGTTCCCTTTTTCTTGAAACATTTCCACTAGAAATATAGCAACAGACTAGAGGCAGTCTTTAGTAATTTGTCAGTCTCAGTCAATGAATTAATGGTCCTTGGTATTACCTTCAAAAGTAATTCCTTGTTATTAACTTCAAAGATAGCAAGTTGGTGATCTGTAGCATGCTAATGTCCAATTAGCCATCCTGTATTTCCTTCTTCTACCTTTGAAATAGCACAAGGAACCAACCTCCTACTAAGCAAAAGAAGAAACCTTTTCTCCCCTCCAGAAGTCTGTGAGTGGGTTTATTCTCTTCTTTGATCCCCATACATCCTTTCAGATTCACTGCAATCGGAATACTTGATAATTGTACATTCGGAGGCACATTTTATTTGTATAATTGAAAAAAACACAGACGTTTCAAAAATAATCTTATTGTTGATTTTTCAGAATCAATTATATTTGAAATAGATAGCTTTGGAAAACTCATTTGCAGATTTTTAGAAATATGTTTGATACTGATACTTTACATTCAATAAACAAATCCAACAGAATATGAGAGAATTCAGGAAACCTAGCTACTTTCTTGGCTACAAACTAAATCATGTCTCTCTTTCTCCTCTAGGACAACCCATTTTTTGATCTGCACTTCAAGAAAGTGTACAGTTTGGAAGCATATAGCTGTGCTTCTAAATATGCCTTTGCTCGAACAGTAAATAAGCTGAATCATGCATATCTTAAGAAGGACTTACAGATCGTGAACTTTGATTCTACTTACATCAATGATGATTCCATTTGGTCCTCCAACAACAAGGATTGCTTGGTCCTTATGAGAATATGCTTTTATGCTTTCAATCTTGTGTGCTTGTCCCTGTGTCCCTTGCCACTCTAAAGATGTATACCATGTTTCCTTCATCAGTGTCCTATGAAAATGATTCCCCAAGTAAATATTGAACATCATAATTTTTTCCACATATCAGCGACTATTATTTATATGAAAATAAAGTAATGCTTTGTGAATTGCAGTGAAATGTATTTTAATGCAATCATTCAACATTTGGGACTTTTTGCCAATGTGTTTCTTGGTAACTTTGGAAGGAGTTGGATGGTTTTGACTAAATTAGTATTTTGCTGAAGAATAGCAAAAAGAACCATAAAAGACCTAAATAACAGAAAGACATCCTGTGTTCATGGATAAGAAGACTTAATATCATCAAGATGGCAATACTAACCAAAATGATCTACAGATTCAATGCGATTTCTATCAAAATACCAATAGTCTTTGCTGCAGAAATGGAAAAATCAATTCTCAAAATTCCTGTGGAATTTCAAGGAGCACCAAATGACTGAAGAATCTTGAAAAAATCCGTACAAAGTTGTAGGACTCACACTTCTTGGATTTCCAAACTTACTACAAAGCTACAGTAATCAAAACAGTGTGGTAAATGCATAAGAACAGACCTATTACAGAACAGAATTGAGAGTTCCAAAATAAATTTATATATCTGTGGTCAACTGATTTTTGACAAGGGTACCAAGTCCATTCAAAAGAGAAAGAATAATCTCTTCAATAAATAGTCCTGGGATGACTAGACATTCACATACAAAAAAATAAAGTTAGTCCTCACACCATATGCAAAAATTAACTTAAAATGAACTAACAACCTAAAAATAAAAACTAAAAACATAAAACTCTAAGAGCAAAACATAGGGGTAAATCTGAAGAACCCTGGGTTTGGCAATAAATTCTTGTGACATCAAAAGCACAAACCAAAAAATAGATAAATTGGAGTTCATTAAACTTAAAAACTTTTTACATCAAAGGATATTATCAAGAAAGTGAAAAACAAACCTACAAAATGAGAGAAAATATTTGCAAATCATATATTTGATAAAGGTTTAACACCCAGAATATATAAAGAATTTCCACAACTCAGTAACAAAAAGACAAACAACCCAATTAAAAAATGGGCAAAGGACTTGAATAGACATTTCTCCAAAGAAGATATACAAATGGCCAATAAGCACAAGAAAAGATATTTGACATCATTAGGCATTAGACAAATATAAATCAAAACCACAATGAGATAGCAATTCACACCTACTAAAGATGATTATTTTTTTTTTTAAATTTTACTCTATTTAGGGTAGCTGTATAAAGATGATTATTTTTAAAAAAGGAAAATAACAAGTGTTGGCAAGGATATAGAGAAATTGGAACTTTCATACATTGCTTTTGGGAAAGTAATTTTTTAGTTCCTGTGGAAAATAATTTTTTAGTTCCTCAAAAAGCTAAATAGAGAATTACCATGTGACCAAGGGATTCTACTGCTAGGTATATACCCAAAGGAGTTGAAAGGAGGGACTTGAACAGGTATCTGTATACCAGTGTGTACTGCAGCATTATTCACAACAACCAAAAGGTGGAAACACCCAAGTATTCATCCACAGATGAATGAATAGACAAAATGTGGTATGCCAAGCAATCGAATATTATTCAGCCTTAAAAAGAAATGAAGTTCTGATACATGCTACAATATGGAATGAAGCTTGAAAATGTTATGCTAAGTGAAACAAATCAGACACAAAAAGACATATGTTGTATGGTTCCTTTAATGTGAAATATCTAGAATAGGCAAATTCAGAGACAGAAAGTAGATTAGAGGTTAACAGGAATTGGGAGGAGGGAGGAATAGCGAGTCAAGGCTTAATATTTACAGAGCTTCTGTTTGGGGTGATGAAACAATTTTGAAAAATGGAGATGATTGTACAACATTGTGAATGTAATTAATACCACCGAACTGTACATTTAAAAATGGGTGCAATGCCAAATTTAATGTTACATATATATTGCCACAATTTTTAAAATGTAATAAACCAAAAACCATTGAACTACACACTTTAAATGGACCAATTGTGTGATATGTGAGTTATATCTCAATAAAGCTGTTAAAAAGGAAAAAGGTCTGAAAAAATAAGGAAATCTTGTCATTTGTGATAACATGGATAAAACTGGAAGATATTATGTTAAGTAAAATAAGCCAAGTACAGAAAGACAAATACCTCAGGATCTCATGTACATGGGGAATTTTAAAAAGTTGAACTCATAGAATCGGAAGGTACCATGTTTCCCCGAAAATAAGACAGGATCTTATATTTATTTTTCCTCAAGAAGACACCCTAGGGCTTATTTTCAGGAGATGTGTCATTTTTTTTTAAAGTACGGTACAACAATCTACATATATTCAAATATAGTTGAGTCGTCTTCTTCTGGAACATCATCCTAACTCTCCAAACCCCAAATTCCATTCTGAATTTCTTGCGACTCTATTTCCTTTAGAACCATTGGCCCCAATCTCTCATGTCGAGCAATGGAGCTCTCATGGGGCAGATCTGAAGGGCTGCTCGTGTTCTTTCCCACTCTGCGACAAAATGCATGGGTTTTGCAGATGTGCTGTGAAGCCACACCCATCACTAGGGCTGATTTCCATAGCCACGCCCACAACTAGGGCTTATTTTCATAGCCACGCCCATCACTAGGGCTTATTTTCGGGGTAGGGCTTCTATTGCCCACATGCTTAGACATCCTGCTAGGGCTTATTTTAGGGGTAGGTCTTATTTTCAGGGAAACACGGTAGAATGTTGGTTACCAGAGGTGAGTTGGGCAGGGAGAGGGTAAAGACATTAGGGAGATGTTATTCAAAGGATACAAAATGTCAGGAGGACTAAGTCTAAAAGATCTATTGTATATCATGATGACTATTGTTAATGACAATATATTGATTACTTGAAAATTGCTAAGAGAGTAGATCTAGCTTGATTTAGCCATTGCACAATATAAACATATTTCAAAAAACCATGTTGTACACCATAAATACATACAGTTTTTATTTGTCAATTATTAAAGATCCACTGTGGTAATTGCTGCAGGCAAGATAAACAAATGAGTGCTAAAATTAGTGGGTGAAATTTTTAACTTGATTGCCTGTATAAAGACCCTATCTCCAAATAAGATCATATTCTGAGGTACTGGAGCTTAGGACCTCAACATTTGGGGGGTGGGCAGAGACAAAATTCAATCTATAACCTTAAGGAAGCAGTTTAAGGAGACCTTACAACTAAATACAATACGGATTCCTAGACTGGATCCTGGAGCAGAAAAAGAATATTGGTGGAAAAAATGATGAAGTCAGAATAAGGTCTGTAATTTAGTTATTGGTATTATACTAAGGTATTTTCTTAGTTTGATCATGGTACCATGGTTATGTGAGATGTTAGCAGTGGGAGAAGCTGGGAGAGAAGAGTGTGGGAGTTCCCTGTATTATCTTTGCAATTGCTCCTTAAGGCAAATTTTTTTTCAAAATAAAAGCAAAATTTTTTAAAGATCTATTTGAGTTGATTTCCTATGCAGCAGCTAAATTATCAAGAAGGCCACCATTTACAGACAGCATCAAAATGTGGAAAAACAGGTGAGTTGAGTCTTGTGCTGTGAAGCCAAATCACCTCATTATCTAGTTGTGTTGAAAATTATTCGTATTGTTGAGGATTAATAAGGAGAGGCTGGGCGCGGTGGCTCATGCCTGTAATCCTAGCTCTCTGGGAGGCCAAGGCGGGCGGATTGCTCAAGGTCAGGAGTTCAAAACCAGCCTGAGCAAGAGCGAGACCCCGTCTCTACTATAAATAGAAAGAAATTAATTGGCCAACTGATATATATATAAAAAAAATTAGCCGGGCATGGTGGCACATGCCTGTAGTCCCAGCTACTTGGGAGCCTGAAGCAGCAGGATCGATTGAGCCCAGGAGTTTGAGGTTGATGTGAGGTAGGCTGATGCCACGGCACTCACTCTAGCCTGGGCAACAAAGTGAGACTCTGTCTCCAAAAATAAATAAATAAATAAATAAGGAGGACAAGAAATAAAAACACCTTTTAATCAAAGCAGGCACTAAAAATGACGATAAAATGCTAGAAGAATATTATTATTCTATGCTAAGCTTTGCATTGCCCTCTCCAATAAATAAAAGCCTATCCCTGAAGCTCATGTGTTTTCTTCTTGAGGGAAAAGTTCAGACTGTGGTTAACAAAAGCGACCACTTCCTATATTAGAATGATGTCTTTATAGAGAGAATAAAGACAGTATCTTATTCACCTTTGGATTAGACACAGGGGGCACTCAAGATACGTGTATTAATTCTTTTGATATGTCATTCTTGGAAATCTGATTTAGAAAGGTATTTACTGAAAACCTGGTCACATTAGCATTATTTCTTGTTATGTTTCTTCTCTCTCCCCTTTGCCTCCTCTGTCTTCTTTCTTCCCCCAACTCTTTTTAAGTTTAATTCCTCTGCCAGCCAAAATGTCCTTATTTCTCTATACTTTTTCCTCATCTATTTTTTTTCCTTTTACTCCTCTTTTACCTTAAGCACTGCAAGCAGTTTGAAACTCCTAGGACCTAGGGACCAAGAGTGGCAGAGTCATCCATACAGACATTCAGGCTGCCCAGCTCAGCCACTGGACGCCCATTCCTATCACAGACACAGATTAATTTAGATGACGATGTACAAGCCACCCAGCGGAGTTCAGGAGCAGTGGACAAAAGCTGACTCCTTCATAAACCCTCATCAGCACTCACGCAGAGTCTCTACGAACACTCTAGCAACTGTCTGTGCCCTCTCTTGACTACGCTCTGAGCATCTCTTTGTACCAGCTGGCTATTTGCACAATAACGCTGTGTGACAAACAACCCTAATTCTTTTTTTTTTTTTGTAGACTTAATTCTATTGCATTTTGTTCTGCATCTTCCACTAATAGTTTCATGTATTGGTAAATTCAGCTAGAGTATAAATTCTTTTTTTGTTGTTTTTTGAGACAGAGTCTCACTCTGTTGCCCCTGCTAGAGTGCCATGGCATCAGCCTAGCTCACAGC